GGTTATTTTATAGTGCAATAACATTTCACAGTTTTACAATTTGTACTGTATTTTCAATTAAATAAATGCAGCCTTATTTTTTAAAACATTAAAAAATCGTACTGAACCCAAACTTTTGACGGGTAGTGTATACTGACCTGTTTCCATAAATAAATGTAACTGCACTGCAATAAAACTGTTTAAAACTTTCATAAGAATTGCTTTTTGAGCAGGTAATCAGCTTAATGATTTCTGACACTTAAGATAGGAGAAATGTTGCTGAAAATCCAGCTTTGCCATCAAACTAGTAGATGACTTTAAAAATGCATTTATTTATTGAAAATGCATTACTCAAAAGTACTGTTTTTAGTGTAGTTTTGATCACATTGATAGACCCTTAAAACAACAAAGAATCGTGTACCATACTGTATTATTTTTAAATGGTTATTTAAGATCATATTTGAAATAACGTCTCGTGCACACAAGCATGCGGACTCACGAATGTAGCCATGTCTAAATAGAAAGAGTGTGACTATGTTGGTCTGTGGACAAAATTACATAATACAAATATGCTGCACAAGGTCAGCTAAACAAACTTGCTCAAACTCTGCTGTGTGGGAACTCTTACACATTAAAGAGCTTGTTTAAAGGGGCTGTATGTTAGAATATACTGTATATGTGTTAATCATTTTTATTGTCTATGCGTGCTAATGTGTTTCTTGTAAAACTTTCAAATCAAGACATTCATTGATTTTGTAGGTTATCTGAAAAGCTGATTGATTTTTAATAATACCAATAGGATGTCATTGCATAATCCCAAGAGCAACTCTTTTCATTCTTTCACACATGAAACGAATGTGTATAACAGGGGTGGCCAAATATTTTCTTATGAAGGGCCAAAAACCCAACTTGATTTGGTTGTTAGCTGACGGTAAATAAACTATTACAAAATTGCCATAGGTAATTTCCTAACGTATTTTAAAATATTTTAAAATAAATAATAAAAACATTACTTAAATCATATTAACTAATGCATTATTGTTATACATTTTATAATAACTAATTACTATAAAAACATGAACAATTCCATTTATAACACAATGGAGTGTAATGTATTCCTCACTGATGTCTTCTGTATTGTGCTCTATCCATCGAGCAGCAATATGTTCATTTTTATGTTCATGTCTTGTCATTAAACCCAGTGGCAAGAACAACAAATAATATCTTGACTTTTACTTGATCAATTGGAAAAGTGGCAGAAGATAGATTTTTCTGATGAATCATCTGTTGAACAGCATCCCAATCATCACAAATACTGCAGAAGACCTATTGGAACCCACATGGACCCAAGATTCTTACAGTAATCAGTCAAGTATGGTGAAGGAAAAATCATGGTTTGGGCTTACATTTAGTATGGGGGTGTGCGAGAGATCTACAGAGTGGATGGCAACATCAACAGCCTGAGGTATCAAGACATTTGTGCTGCCCATTACATTACAAAGCACAAGAAAGGGCAAATTCTTCAGCAGGATAGCGCTCCTTCTCATACTTCAGCCTCCACATCAAAGTTTCTGAAAGTAAAGAAGGTCAAGGTAAACCAGGATTGGCCAGCCCAGTCACCAGAATGAATATTATTGAGCATGTCTGGGGTAAGATGAGGGAGAAGGCATTAAAGATTAATCCAAAGAATTTTGATGAACTCTGGGAATCCTGCAAGAACGCTTGCTTTGCTGTTTCAGATGACTTAAGTTATTTGAGTGTTTTCAGAGATGTATGGATGCTCATGGAAGTCATCCACCATATTCATTCTTTTTCCACTGGACCATAACTTTATTTCTGTTAAGTGACGAGACTTTTGTCTAAACAAAGTCAGACCTTACTGTCCTAAATATGTTAATAATTAAATAATCAAATTAAGGCATTATCATATTTTATTTTGGTAAAATAAACATAATCTAGAGGCTTTTGCCTTTCATATAAGCCACTTCTGATATCAAACGTTTAACTAGAAGTTATTAATTGTTGTTCCTAAAACTTGGATAGGCGACAAGACTTTTGTCAGGTAGTGTACATTCAAAACATTTAATTAAAACGTTTCATTTGAGTTAGCTTTTTTTAGCTTAACTGTAAAATAAATAAAAGGTTATGTTAGATTAAAAATGGCAATCTCTATTAAAATCATTCTGTGCAGCCCATCCCCATCATCCTCCCTTTCTTCTTAGGTGGAAAGATGAGCCAAATCAAAGGTTACCATTGGCCAACTTTGGCCCGTAAATCATACTTTGGGCATCCTTTGTGTATGTTTAGGATGATGGCAAAACAGCTTTTCATTGAAGCTATTTTTGTATTAATCTCGAACCTGATGATTCCTTATTTATCTGACGAACCCTATTTAACAGCCTAAGTTTCCAGTTTTCATTGGCTTGTATGTCCTAAAGACAATCAAAGCAACAGCCTTCTACACTGTATACTAAAATTTGACTGCTGTAACCTTCTGAATTTTGTTAATAGTTTTCTACAAATTAAGTTTCTTTTTTTTTTTTTTTGTAAAAGACTATTCTACTTCAATGAAAAATCCTTCAACATTTAATCTCTTAAACAGTTTTTTAGAATTTCAAATAAAAAATAGACTCTTCAGTCTAGTTTACGCAACTCAAAACAACATGCAGAGCAAATTAACACATAACTGTCTTCTTTCTGGAAGTCACATTCTTTCATTTGGCATTCCATTCCGTTTCTGCTATGACAGCTATGAAGGAAGATTGCTGTCCAAAAGGGCACAGTGTTTTTATCCAATTAAAAACTGGGACAAAATCCAGACATCCTGGCACCGTCATGGCAAAACTGCTTGCCCCTCCCCAAATTTACAAAAGCTTTACTTTTTTTCTTTCCTTTCTAAATTTGACCAAACACATCCTCAAGTCAAAAGAGGAGACACACACAACACACATCAAAAAAAGAAGTTCAATCTACATTTATTATTATATAAGTCTTGTCTGTTCATCATTCAAAATATGACTTTGTAAAATAAAAAAGAAATGGAACTCTAAAACTTCAAAATAAAATCTATCATTCAAACTACACCCAAAGAGTATTTACACAATAGAATATATGCTATTTAAGTGTAATGGTCTCACTTCAAATTAATATACAGTCTTGGTAAAAAAAAAAAAAAAAGAAAAGAGGTAGGGTTAACTGTTTCATTTCAGATGTCTGGAACAACCCTCAAAATGAGTCATTTCCATGATTGAACACTAAGATGATGACACAATAATCAATATACTCTGGAATTAAACCCACTGCATGTCTCATTTAGCACATATGACGGATACGTGAAGACATAAGGCAAAAAATGATTAATATGTGAGTCACTCATACTGTGTGAGAATGACAGCATAGGGAGGAATGAGTGTAATGGGCAATGAAAAGTGTTAAAAATGACAGGGGACAAAAAGGGAAAGTAAGCAAGGGTAACCGGCACTGAGGTCTGAGTGGTTTTTAAGGCACCATCAGCAGCTGTATGAAGACAGAACCTTGTCTAATGTATTCTGTGAATCTCAGATGGAGGACTAAACCCAAATAACACAATAACTGTTATTAAGAAAAGCAGTCTATGCAGCATTTACTCCATTACCAGAGTATGTTAGACCATTAGAATCCGTTTGTTGTCTTAGGTAAACCTCCAGAAGACGCATGTACAACAAAAAATATTACTCTTAAAGGTCACACTGTAAAAAGCTATCAGTTACTTTACTTAAAAGTAAAAGTGGGTAAAGCTGTTGCAACTTGGATCTGTTAAGTTGACTCAACTTAAAATGATTAGGTAAGTAAATATGTGCATAATTCTCAAAATGAAGGCAACAGGTTTACTTACTTTAAGTAAACTTTAAGTCAACTAATCACTTTTTACAGTGCAGGAAGCAGATTTTATTAATTAAAGACACAAAGCATGTGACTAATCATCTCCAAGTCTACATCTAAACATTTGAAAAAACAACAAGAGAACTGAATAGCGTAAATATGTGTACCTGCTATCTAGCATTATGGGTACATTTAAAAACTATCAAATGGTAAACCCTAAAATTATTCACCAAAAGTGAAACGCATACTGATTTCTTAATCGATTTTTGCATTTTCACTGTATGTACTCCACATCAGAAACCAAGACTGTGAGAAAAACCGCTGGTACAGAAATCCAGACAAGATTATTACATCATTTTTAGCAACATACCACCAGACAATGCTTTAAAGGGATAGTTCACCATGAATTTGAAACTGACCATTAATTTACTCACCTTAAGGTCATCTAAGGTGATTTATTTTTCCTTCAGTAAAACATTAAAGATGATTTTTTTTTATTGAACCAAGGTCATTGATGATTCATAAAATGTAAAATGCAAGCCAATGGTTACCAGAACTTTAAGAGACAAACAAACAAACAAACAAAACATATAGGCAAAACATAATAAACTCCAATGGTTCCTGATGAAATATTGAGGTTTTATGAATTGACTCGCTCTTAGGACCAACAGTGTATTAAAGGAAACCATAATTAATGCTCAATAACTGTACTTCAACCTCCTTATATACTCAGGTATTGATTTAGTTTTGCCTATGTGTGCTTTTGTGACTCTTAAAGTGCTGGTATCTGCTAACTTGCATTATATAAATCACAAATAAGTGCCATTTTAGCTCTTGTCTTTATTGTTTTTACTGAAGAAAGGAATGAACATTTTTTGGAAGGCTTGAGAGTCATTGTTCGGTCATAATTAATCAAAAGTTGGTGTTTACATAATATTCTTGTGGGTAATGTTTACGTTTATTATGTTTATATGTATGTCCAAACACACATATCAAATAAGTGTATACTTGAGAAAATATTTATAGAGCATTTATATATAATACAAACTATTTATGAATATATGCATGTAAATTATTTAGTACTTTTCTCCATTTTCTGTATATGTGCATATTTTTTTGTACATAGACATACGTAGTACACACACACGCACACAAATATAATGTATTTTTGGGTGAACTATTCCTTTAATAATATTACAACTGACTGAAAATGCAAATGCAAACCCTGTGGTCAATATTCTCCTGCTGAAGCACCGACAAATATATTTGGCATCTTAAAAAGTAGAGAAAGTGAACTAATAAAAATATATGTATATATGGCAACCGATTAAAAATGTATGGGCTGCTTCGCAAGTCAGATGTGATATGTAAATGTGTACTGGAAGTACTGCCATAAGCGAGTGCAGATGGGCATCTGAGTGTTGCAGAGCGTGTGTGAGTGGTTGGTCTGTAGAGGGCAGTGTTCATAGAGAACCGTGTCTGTGCATACTGTATTTAGTGCACGCCATTCATTATGTGCTTTTGGTGGATGTCCAGAGTTGTGCCGTCCTCTCTGTTGTGCAGGGAAGGGCTCAAATCTTCTTCCCTAAGCTGAGCAGCTTTCCGGATCTCATCCAGAGTGTACTCCTGTAGGATGGTCCCGTTTTCAAACACAGTCACCAGCATGTCCTGTAAAGGAAGATGATCATTTAAATGAGGATCACAAACTGCTGGATATTATTTGTTTACTGGAAAGCTTTGGGACGGTAGATCAGCATTTTCTGAAATCTTTGACTAGACTGTTTGCTTAAAAGTGTAATTAATAACTTGGTATATTATTAAAGTTGTATTTTAATTACTTTTCTAAAAAGTCATTTAATTAACCAATGAGAAATTTAACCACTTGACTCATCATTCATTAATTTTCTTTTCGGCTTAGTCCCTTTATTAATCTGGGTCGCTACAGTGGAATGAACTGCCAACTTATCCAGTGTATGTTTTATGAAGCGGATACCCTTCCAGCCGCAACCCATCACTGGGAAACATCCATACATTCTCATTCACACACATACACTTCTGACAATTTAGTTTAACCAATTCACCTATACCACATGTTTTTGGACTTTTGGGGGAAACCGGAGCACCCGGAGGAAACCCACACCAACACGGGGAGAACATGCAAACTCCACACAGAAATGCCAACAGGACAAGTCGGGACTCGAACCACCAACCTTATTGCTGTGATGCGACAGTGCTAACCACTGAGCCACCGTGATACCAATCTGGCACCAACAACCTTGAAACAAAACTTAAATAATCCTTCTTCCCCATTCTGATGATTGGTTTGAATTCAAGCAGATTTTCTTGACCACATCTATACATGATTAAATAAAACCATATGATTGGCTAATTAGATATTTGCATCAACAAGCAATTGAAAAACTGTGCCTAATAGAGATGTTGGTAAAAGTATAAAAGATAATAAATCAGATTCCATTTAAATTCAATCCACTCAGAGAAAATGGCTTCTGCTTTGGAAAATACATTGAATGAATGCAGGGCTGGCGGATAAAACAATGACCATTATGCCAATATAATTAGCCCTCGATAAAAGGAAAACCATTAATGCAGGTTTGTTTAGGTCTCAAATTAGATTACATTTTAAGTTTTCTCAATTTAACTTAATCAGTTGTTTACCTGGTTGATGTGTTTGTCTTGTTCCAACAATAAAAGTGTTGTTTATATAAGTAACTAACTGTCTGGTTTCCACAAATTTCACTCAGAAGCAAAAATCAGTTTTAAAACTGAAATTTGACAATTACTGTAATCATTTTTTACAACGACAAAAAATTTTACTGTGATCTTTTTTTTGTGCCATATCACCCAGCCCTAGTTAAATGTTTTTTGGTTTAATACAGTTGAAGGCATACATATTCATTCTTTTAAAAATATTCCCCAAGTGCTGTTTGACAAAAAAAATTTTCAACACATTTTTAAACCATTTTAAAAAACTAAATTTCAAGCAACTAATTCGTCTTTGCCATAGATCTTTGCAATTTGACTTGTTATTATGCAAGATACTAGTATATAGCTTAAAGTGTCATTTAAAGACTTAAAGGGCACCCATCATGCAAAATCAAGTTTGGCAGAAGTTTTGACAGAAATATTGTGTCAACAGTCATACTCCAATGATATAAACATTCATTTAAAATATTTCCTGACATAAAATAGGTTAAAGTTGGCAATTTTGTGGCCCACTGCAACGTTTTCCCTGCACACCGATATTGATTGACAGGCATGTATTACCATGTCTCTGTAGCAACACATATAAACATATCCACAAGACAGGATTTGCAAAGAAACTGGGATTAAAAGTTCTTTTCCCACTCTGTGGTCTAACAGCACTGCAAGAAGCAGTAAGTGCTACACTTTGTACTTTTTATAGGATTTTAAACTTTATAGTTTTTAAGCTATGTAATTCACAACAGTTGGAATCCCCACATCTGCATTGTGTAAACAAATATCAGCGAGGACGCTTCAATCACACAACAGGAGTGCTGGTTTGTGGACGTTTAAACAGATTTAATTTGTATATGGGCCTTTATACAGAAGCATATTTACCCAATTGGTGGGCATCCTGTTAATTTATACTGCGAGTATATGAGCAAAAACATTGCACCTTTTAAACTTCTGTGTGTGTGTGTGTGTGTGTGTGTGTGTGTGTGTGTGTGTGTGTGTGTGTGTGTGTGTGTGTGTGTGTGTGTGTTTTGTGACATATCAGGACACACATTTGTATAATGACATGGGTGTGACACAGGAATTACAAAAAGGAGGTGAAATATGAGCACATTGGTGACGTCCTTATTTCTCAAAAAGCTTATAAATCCCACAGAAAGAATTTAATCAGAGAGTAACTCTCAGACTGCACACAGTCTCCTGTGAAGGCTAGGTTTAGGGGTAGGGTAGGGTGAGGGCAATACAACATACGATTTGGACAGTATAAAATGAATAGAAACCTATGTAATGTACCCACTTTTCACAAAAACAAACGTGTGTGTGTGTGCCTCATTCATCTGACTGTGGTATTTGTGAATGTGGGTCTCCCTTTCATCCTGTCAGAGTTGCTTTCTGCATATTTGCTTTATCATGACATTTTCATTTAAAGACACATGCGCAAAACAGCTACAATTTCCTCTGACCCCAAAATTGACATTCAACAGGGTGATGGGTTTTTTGACCTGAAATGTTATAGACACATTCTGGAGACACAAAATACTTGTTTTACATCTTGATAAAAGGCCAAAATTGGAGCTCTTTACCTAGGCCAATTACTTTAAATTGGCAAGTCATTGGGCGAATATAGTTTTAATATAGATGTGTAATTTTGTAATATTAATAATTTTGTATATGTAATAAATATAAAATAATATAATATAAATAATAAAAAATAAATGAAAGTCTGTGCATAATTTACAAGTACACAGCTGATCTAACCTCCTCTGGTTTGCCAGCTCCTCTTTCCACCGTCTCAATGAAGCCATCGGAGTTTCTTCTAAGAGAGAGACGACCACGCTTAGATCCTTTAGATGGGTCCGTCACTGGCTGCTTATAGACATCCATCTACACAAACAAAAGTCACTTCATCATAATACAAAATCAAGTACATCATGCTAAATAACGATTTTTGACTTCTATAAAATAAGAAGTCAATAATAAAAAACAACAACTTACGCCTTTGCCACAGGTCTCCACATAGCTGCACTTAAATGCGCAGTTAAGTGTGTCTCTGTTGATTTTCTGCAGAAGTGCGCTTCCACAACCGAAAAACACATTTTCAGCACTCCAACCCTCATCGCTCAGTTTCTGCAGAATCTACGCTAGCCGAAAAAGACAATTAAAATACGAAGCATGATCAATACGGAATATAATCAATGAGTTACCTCTATATTATCAAACATTCAAAGTAATAATGTTTATAATCGGTCATAAATGAATGATGAACATTCGGCCACAGTAAAAATTGTCTGACAATTTGTGACAGTACAATTAATAGGCAGTAGCTTGCTAGTTGAGTGAGTGTGTTTCAAAAGTCTGAGAACAGAGTGAAAATGCTACTGTTTTGCATTTCTCTAAATTAACACATGTATCTTAATTACTCATTAAAGCAATCTGATTTGCAGTTAATTTAAACAACAGTTTGCAAATTGTGTGATAATTGAAAAATTAACATGAATTTCAGCACATCTTATTTGATTTGTCCTTTTGGTTTAATGGCAGGAGTGCTCAGTTTGTTTGTTTATTTGTGTAAAACTGGGATATTTTCCAAAAAGTATGACTGTAAGCTCACATCTTATAATTGATCAGAGATTTATAAACTTCACTAGAGATTTGTTATTCATTTTACATAGCAGAGTTTTTTTATGTCTGCTTATAAATCATTGATTTAAAAGGTTCCAATGAAATTAAAAATTAAACTTTTAGATGTTAGTTTCAGCCTGTTAGTTTTAGGGATGTTGGTGTGCTTCAAAACTGTGACGAAATTCGCATTTAGGAGATATAAAACCGATATAAGCACGAAAGCTTGCGGTTTGTCACTTCCGTCTAAATGGGTCAATGGTTTTTACGCCACCTCATACTTCAGTTTCTCATCAAAGCTTGACCAATCAAATGCTCTCTAGTGTCTGACATGTCCCGCCCCCTTCTCATTTGCTTTTCATTTGATGCGCTTGAGCTCAACCACTCACACTGGTGATATAAACAATATAAGCTGTGATATAAACACTATTAGCTACTTTTTAAAAAGGGAGGGCCTACTCCCAACCCTCTATTCATTTTTCGGTTGAGATTACATCAAACATTGAAAAAAAAACTAATTTTAAAGCACTTGAAAGCACTTCTTTAAGACTTGTTACTGTAAACCACACAGGATTAAATTTTAATTATACTGTTCAAAAGTCTGGGGTCAGTAAAACTTAATTATTTATTAATTATTAATTTAAATAATTAATAATTAATCAAAATACTGTCAACATACTAATATTGTTAAATAGTACAATAGTTACCTATTTTTAAAGTGCAATGTGCAACATAACTATCTGTGAATATAATATTAACAAAAAAGAATAAAAACTTAAAAATCTTATAAAAATAAAATGTTCTGAACTGCAAAAATCAGTTATTAGTTTTACCGATTCCAATTTTACTTTGCAACAAATGTACATATACTAATGTTAGACTGTAGGATGTGTGAGCATATTGTAGAAGCAAAACAAATTTAGGACTTCTATTGGATTCGAGTCAGGAGATTGGCTGGGCCATTCTACAGCTTTATTTTCTTTTTCTGAAAGCAAGTTTCCTTGGCTGTGTTTTGGATCATTGTCTTACTGAAATGTCCACTCTGGGGTCCGTTCTTCGTACCTCGCTTAAAATGATCTAAGATGATTTGGCAGATTCTGGATCTTTTAATCTTGATAACTGATCTCTCGCTAATTTGGTTCTCCAAACAAGTTCGCGAATCAGATTAGAATATCTGGATGAACTGATCTGAGATCGCTGCGTTTGTTGTGAAGGACAGATCTATCGATCCTCGAAATCATGATCAGCAATGCAATGATTGGCTGACGGCACAGCAGCGTAATGACATCATCTGATTAATATTCAATTATCCATGTGAGCAAAATTACATCAAATTAGCAGTAAACGGCTTGTTAAATATGACACGCAGTAACATCACATTTGTTGTGAGCTGCAGGCTTTACACTTTCATTTGTCAAGACAAGAGTATTCATCATGTATTTCAATGCAAATCAATGTATTTAGTTCTTCATTTAGAAAAGATTTTCTTTATTATAGTAGCCGTTTTTTAATCGGTGTAAAGAATAACTGGTTGTTTACAAAAGCATTTTGATATTGGTAAAGGCGTCTGCAACTTTTGTGAAGCATCACTGGCATATTAACTGTCAAAACATGTTTATGACTGCATAAATGTATTATTGCTTTTAAAAAAAGTCACATATTGTGCATTTCTATTATACACAATAGATTCTATTCAAATGTGTATAATAGATCTTATTCTATTATACACATTTGTACAAAAGCGATCTAAAAAGTTCATATCAATAAGTTTTCTCTTTGCACCACCAGGTGGCAGTCTTTGTACTTTCATTTCGAGGGTGCAGATTGCATACGTTTTATTAATATGTATAACTTTATTTATTTTATTAATGACTATAACGTTTATATATATAGTTAAAAATATTTACTATTTTCCCAAGTGTATATAACTTTTACTGTAAGAAAATATCAGAACTTGGTACATACTTTCTGTATTATCTTTGCTTGAACTGAGCCGATCTAATCCTGTTTATATGATATGAACCTGCTCCCGATCAGGTTTGACCTAGCAGATCTGTTACCATGACAACAACTCTCGGATCAGCTTTGAAGAACGAAACGATCCTGGATCGTGTCAAATCGTCAATATCCAAATCCAGCTAACTGAGTAATCCACGTACGAAGAACAGACCCCTGGTTTCATCTTCATCATCCTGCTTATGTAGATGTTGGACTGAAGCAGATAATATTCATTCACAGTGACGAAGGGCACAGGGTTGCTGAATAACTACTGAGAGATTTCAGCTGCAGTCTGGGCTTTCACTGCCTTTCTACACCTCCCTTTCTTCATGTGTTCAATGCTTTTTTCTGGTGTCATTTTATTTCATTACACATAACTTAATTTGTAAACTAATTAGATTTGTTTTCTTTTCATATATGGATTTCTTTGGTTGTTATCAACATCTGGTGAAAATTTCAAGTCGAATATTTATATATAAACCCTGGTCAGTGGTCAAACCTACTGATCCCAAAGTTTTGAAGCCTAGTCAATGTCTTTTTTTCGTGATTTACTTTACCTCATTTATCGAGTTCAAATCAATTCCATCCCCCTGGATAATGCGCAGGTATGACGGAAGCACTTTGTAACCAACCGAGTTCAGAGAACATCCGAAACACTCCTCCAAAATCTTTATCACCTAAATGTGAGACAGAAAAGACATATTTCAGGACATACAAAAATTCAATAAAGGAAGTAATCAATTTTACCACCATTTCATTCATCAACTTAAACCAAGAAACAAACTAATCTTTAGACAATCTGAAAGCAAAAAAGAAAAAAAAAAAGAAAGAAAATCAATGTTTCCAGGCACAGCTCTCAATATAGCAGCAGATGCTATCTTAATCCTACAAGCCTACGTCACTCAAAATGCAGCTTGTCTGAATCTTTACTTCACCAAAAATAAAGTTCAGCCATTGAAACGGCTAGCATAAGGTCAGAAGTGAACACAAACTTAGTAGATGATACACAAACCTCTAAGAGGGTTTCAGCTGGATCCCCGGAGTCTGGGCGGATAATGAGGGCGGAATCTTCACTCCTCTCCATCACTCTCTCTTTCAGCTTGTCTCCCCAGATGTGCTTACAAGCCTTGAAAATATCATAACTGTCGCTAACCACTGCCACAGGTCCAGAGGGAAACTGGTCCAGCAGACACTCGAACGCGTCTTTTTCTCGACTCCGTCCCCACGAGATGATGGTACTACAGAGACAAAGAGAAACAAACTTTCTTCAAATCACCTGAAAGGCTAATACCTTGTGAAAAGCTAATGAAAAATGTGATTTAAAACACTGTTAGCACAATTTAACATGTTAGCATGTTTCTTATATGATTTAACACATCACAAATAAGCGTAAGCTTAAATTATGCTATGATGCTATTAGCATGCTTTTAGCATGACTTAACGCAGCACTCACATGTTGTTAGCATGTTTCTAATATGATTTAACACACTAATAGCAAACTTTAACAATGCTACAACACCTTTAGCATGCTTTTAACATCATTTGATGCAGTGTTAGCTTGCTTCTAACATGATTTAATGCACTGACAGCAAACCTTAACAATGCTATAATGTTTTTAGCATAATTTGACATAATTGTTAATTGTTAACATAATATGATGCAGAACTAGCAAGTTTTTATCATGATTTAACACACTGATAGTAAGCTTTAACAATGCTACAATGCTGTTGGCATGGTTTTGATATGACTTTACTTATTGCTAACATGTTGTTAGCATGTTTAACGTATGACAGACTTTCTTCATATTATTTGATATGCTAGTATTTTTAGCCAGCATAAATCAGTAGTCATTTTTTTCCCACTTCCACAAAAAATGTACTGTAAGTGAGACAGTGTAGGAATGTTTTTATGTTAGTAACAAATTTAGGGTATAGTGTTCTTTAAACACTATAGATTGTTGTTGAGATCAAGTAGTTAAGATTGATTTTTTAATCTGTGCTAATATGCTTCTATCATCGTTTAACAAACTGTTAGCATGTTGTTCACATTTTTCAACATGGATTTTAATGTTGTCAGCATAGTTAAAAACAATGCTAACATGAATTTGTGCGCTGCTAACCTTTGCCAACATAATTTAACACACGGCTTGATTATAGCCACTTTTCCACTATGGTGCTGAATTGTTCTTTAAGCAGAACTGTTCCATTCCATGCCAAACCGGGCCAGAGAGAACGGATACGATTTCATTTTCCACTGTCGTGCTGTGACATAGCTTTTTGAAACATTACACAAAACGCATCAGTAGTTGCCTTGTTAACGCAATGTAAACGGCTCCCTTTGTTCAATTAAATTTATGTAATAGCCGAAACTAGTTTTTTTATGTTCATAAAAGCGAAAGCACTGTTATGCCGCTCTATCAAATAGAGGTGCTAAATATAGGTACATGTCAAAGCACCCTTTTTTTATTTAGAGGTCATATGTTCCGCGCCTCTGGCTAAATTTTATATGGAGAGAAAATGACCAAAATGTAACGTGATGATTGAAAATGATTAGAGGGGAAATAAATTAAATATTTAAAATCTTTGTACATAACAAGAAAATAAACAATAATAATGCAACAATAATAGTGCATTTGTATTATAGTGGCAGAAATATCATTTTTTGCAGGCCTTGTCAAAAGTGAGTGGGCATTTTCACTAAATAAAAATGTAATTTTTTTCATTTTTAACAATCAATTAAATTACACAGTGTTTTATATCAAAAGTTGATAATGATATAAAATATACTACATTTTGATGGTAGTATAACCCTTTAAACGAATATGAAACAACACATTTATAGCAGGATATAAAGCACATAAAGGACTATTATGTTTGGCAAAATGCTACTCTTTTATCTTTGTATTTTTATCATTTTATTTTTATTATTATAATAATTTTTGTGTTCATAATTAACTAACAAGCTGTAGGCAAGTTATTGCTTGACGTTTCAGAAAATATTTGCTTAGCTGTATTAAAGATCACAGAGAACAAAAAAAAAACAAAAACACAGAAACATGTTACATGCCCCCATAAATGTCAAACTTATGTATAACTGAATCATATAATGGCCTATAGCTGAAATAATATAAATTGCTCATTTTATTTTTATAAAACATTTGTCAAAACCTAGTGATATTTTTTGAGTTAAAGCAATACCGACATTTAAGAATTCATATTTATTTAATTTATTCATTCATTTGACTTGTTTATTAGTGCATATATAGACTATAATATAGATCATACAACAGTACCTTGGACAGCTACAGTGCCCCTCCATAAAGCTTTCAAGCAAAGTATAATCAAATATAATCAAATATACCGCAGACTTTTGGACGGCCGACATAACAACACGCTGAACCGTCTTTCAGTTAGTCTTGCTGGTATTAAATTAACAAGCTGTCTGGGCTTTGAATTAAAAAGTACAAATATTTCCTCGTTGTTAAAAGAGTCTGCAAGTTCGTGTTCCATGGATATAATAATGCTGTTGTGGAATTTGGACAACGATGATTTTAAGCGTGTCTTTATTCGCTTTACTCGATGCGCAGCAGAAAAAAAAGTCTTACAGAAACGCATGTAGGTCTAGTCGTTGGTAAAGTTCTCTCCCGAATCAGAGCAAATTGCTGTCAAATACAGCGCTGCGTGCGATAAACTCACATTCAGTCAGGCGAATTAAAGGTACCATTGCCTTGTCAATCAAATTAAAACTCTAGCCACGAATAAAACAATAAGCTATTTTATATAAGAGATTAAAAAGAGATTTTAGATGATGGGTTGGTAATTATATCATACATGGTTAATTGTATTCACGTTAATGAAATAATAGCTTTAATAAATAAAATATCTTCGTACGAATTTGATGAGTCATTCACTTCTCTGCCAGAGACTGCTCTATGGTTTTAAAACCCTGTTCAAACTGTATCGTTCAGACCTGGATAATTTTTTTTTTTATATTAAATGTAGTCAAAGAGTTTAGGTGATTCCACGCTCTTTTATGTAATGTAGTTTATTGAGGATGACTGTGAACTAGCGTGCTTACGCTGAGTTAGCTGTGGTACCTTGACAACAGAGCCGCGGCGTCAACACACAGAATCTGTCGGCACAGTTCAGCACGGTTGTCTAACCATGCCGAGAATTCCGGGCCAAGAACGGTTTGTAATTGTGGCACTCCATTCCAGGCTTAGTGGAGGAACAACCGCAACCGTACTGAAGTGTTCTTAGAACTGTTCAGCACGATAGTGGAAAAGCAGCTTATGATTTGGCATGGTGTTTCCAAAACCCGTCCTAAAAATAAACTGTGGTGTGTCGAATGTTTTTAATTTCTAATGTGATTTAAATCTACTGCTTTAACATGCTGCTAGCATCATGGTAACATGTTTTAACACAGACAACATGTTTTTTTCCCTGTTGTTAACATGTTTCTAACATCACTTGACACTGCTAACATGCCATAATGATTGTAGGTTTTTAGTATTGTTTAACACTAAAAATAGCTTTATATACATTGTTAGCATGCTTCTACTATGATTAACACATTGATAGCAACACTACGCTTAATATTTTAACATGTGGTAGCATGTTTCTACCATATTATACACACTCTACTATAGTATACACACAGTTTTCTACTGTAATATACACACTTTCTATCACAAATTGCTATTGCTATGTAACATGTTTGTAGCAAATTGCTAGTATAATTTAACACATTTTAAAATGCTAACATCTTCCTTTTAGCATGATTCTGCAAGTTTTAAGAAATGGGTTGAGGTTTGCTAAAGAAAGAACAGTTTGGACACTTCACATTATCTGTTGTATAAGTTTTCACGCCCTCGATTGATGCGGCATTGGGAATTTGCTATTGTTTAGAGTTCCGTGAGTTGGACCAACAGAACAACTCGAAGGTCAGGTTTGGTAGTCAAAGAATGAAAGCTCACAAATTCTAACTCAGAAGTAGAATAGGAAGAATAGCAAGCTTAAATGGTGTCAAGCCAACGTTTTTTACATGCATGGCTAAATCATTTATAATAAATATTGCATTGTAAAAAAAAAAAAAAGAGGGAAAAAATCTATTTTTATAAAGCTTTGAAGGATATTAAAACAAATGAGTCTTGCTTTGCTGGACAAGAATTAGAAAGAATCATTTTCAGCAAATGAGTCACTGGTGTTTAATGATCCTTACATGTTGAGCTATTAAAATCTCAGAGTGATTCACTGAATCGTCTGCTTGACTGATAAATGAATGTTGTGATCACTGAACATCTTAAATCTAAACTTGAAATGACGTCACAAAAGCCATCGTTTGACTAAAGTAAAGATTGAGAGCGTGCTAAACTGGGAACAGCACTCAAGCACATGGACAAAGGGCCCTACAGCTGCGAGACGGATGAATGTGGAGCTACTAATAGAACAAATTAGAATCAACGGAACAAATGCAAATTAACATGCAGGTGTTTAACAGCCGATTTGAAGACAATGGATCAGTCGCTGTCCTGTCAATCTTAAAGGAACGATTCAGCAAATAAATTAACATTGTCATCATTTAATCACAAGAGCAAACATGAGTTTCTCAAAAGGAGAACTTCTGTTGATTGCAGTAGGCATAGTGTTTAATGCAATCACAATGAAAAAGAGATCAAAGCTTTATTTAGGGGGATCTAAGCTTACACACACACACACACACACACACACACACACGCACACGCACACGCACACGCGCACACGCACACACACACACACACACGCACACACACGCGCACACACACGCACACACACAAAAGTATCAAAACACATGGAATATAATATGATTGGTGCAAAATAAATAAATGAATCTGTTTATTTATTTATTAGCTTATATGCCTAATTTATTAAATATGTAAATGTGAGCTAATTTTAACGAAGACTAATTTCAATTAATTACTTTTAATTAATTAAAACCAAACTTTGGCTTCAGACAGGGTTTCAAGAAAAAAACTAAAGACTGTCATATATTTAACATTGATAGCAAGCTTTAAGAATGCCACAATTTTGCTGGCATGGTTTTAATATGACTTCACTTATTGATAACATGTTGTTAGCATGTTTAATGTATGACAGACTTTCTTCAAATGATTTAATAGGCTAATACTTTAAGCTAGCATGAATTAGTAGTCGTTTCTTCCCTACTTGAAGAAAATGTACAGTAAGTGAAATAATATAGAAATGTTTTTAACATTACTAACTTAATTACTAACTAAATTAAGGGTATAGTATTCTTTAAAACACTGATAAAACATCAATCAAAATAAAATGCAAATAAGTAAAAGTCATCTTATAATAGTAGTTAAGATTGTTTTTGAACATTGCTAATATGCTTCAATCATTATAATTTTTTAAATATGCCTATTTGCCTATTAAATATGTAAATTTGAGCTAATTTTAACTAAGACTTATAATTAATCAACTACTTTTAATTAATTAAAACAAAATTTGGCTTCAGACAGGCTTTCAAGACAAAAACTAAAGACTGACACATATTTTTACACAATCATAATTTCATTTAGCATATGTAACAATAGTATTTACAATAGCTATATTGTGTTTATATAGCAAAAATATGATTAGTCAAATTGAGAACAAAAAACATTCGATGACATACTAAGTTTATAAATACATCTGTTATGCTGAAAGAATATGAAATACATATATTCACCCATTTATTTCACCCCAAATTATTTGTAACCTTAAAGCAGAAATTATTACTTGCATTTAATGTATTTAATGCATATAAAATCACTTTTAGGAATGTAATTTGATGCATACACTTTTGACGTTTTCAAATCTTTTCATTACAAGCCAATTTCAATATATTTCATTATAATCAACATAAACAAATGGTTTGAACAAAGTTGAATGAACTTTTAAAATTAATGAATACCAACTAATGACTTATATAATAGTAGAAGGTTGACTTCTACTGTTTAGGATGTTAGCAGGATGTTTTACACAACACTAAATTCTTGATTTTGTGAAATAATCTGTGTGTGCTTTACCTGTGCTCTGCTGCAGGGATGGAGAATCCAGCCATTGGACATCCATAGTATCGCTGTGCCATCAGCAATCCTGCCACTGTGTCTGTGCTGCAGAAATTCACCAGATGAGCAGCTCCACCAAGCGCTGCTGACTATAACAACAGAAATGAACCGCTGTAACTTCATACCGCAAGACAGGTAAACAGGTTAAAAATAATCACCACCAGTTGATCAATGACTTTCAGAATGGCACAATTTTTGTATTAGAAGTTCTCTAAATGTTATTTAAAAAAATGTAAATTAGGCATTATTTTTATTATATTTATAAATATTATCATTTTCATACATTTACAGCAGATTCAAATGTCTGTTCTTATTATTTTAGTCAACGGTTTTACACAGAGGATTTTGGTCATCTCTTTATATCACTCTATAATTCAGAAAATGTGAACTGCCTGTAGAATAAAAAGTATACAATAAGGTAAATTATGAATGGACAAATCTGTGTCTAAGACCTACCAAATACAGATATGAAAAACTTGTGATCTTTGGTTTATGTGCTGGTAAAGTGAAGATTTATGGATCACCTGCAGACATTTTTTGAAAAATACAGCAAATGTAAAAAATAAAAACAAAAAGTACAAAATAAATGTATTACAGTCTAAAATCTACAGGCATAAATTGACAACGTGCAAGAACAGAAAATTATAAAGTATTAGAAAGGAGTAACGTCCCGTCAGCTTCAACGCTTCCCATTCACTTTGAATGGGTGACGTCAGGCGTTGACCGAACTGCATTGTGGATCGGAAGCATCAGCCAATCAGATCTCTGTATGCAAATACACCAGCTCAGACAGTGGGCTATTGCTGACTAATTTCATTGGCTGACGCTGCTATAACAATCGCGTCAGCCCCAACTTCAGACACGCCCTCTGTCAAGCGTTGTCGCTGAAGCCCCGTGTGAATGGGCCCTAAGTGTATTTTGAAAAAAAATTCTTTATATTAGACTGAAAAGAAAACACTTATCAAATAAAATTCCTAAAATTGACAGGTGCATAAAAACAAACAAACAAACAAACAAACAAACAAACAAACAAACAAACAAACAAAACAGCAACAAAACAGCAGTAATTTTGCTGCAATCTCATTTGAAGATTTTATGTCTGGGCATAATTTCTAACTATTGTAGCTGAATTATAAACAGTGGCTTTTAAGATACAAATCATAAGAGAGACTTTGACGTTGACCTTTGAAGTCAATTGTGTTGTGGTTTGAAGCCAAGACGAGGTTTTCTATATTCCGCTGATTTAACACTCAGGTTATTGACTGCGTCTCAGTTCATTCATTGCAGGGTCACCGTAATCAGAAGGGATTTGCCCTTTAGTGATAGTCAAGGGAAGGCTGCTGCTATGGAAAGTGAACACGTTTGATTCTAAGCAAAATCTTTTTAGCCCCCCTGAGGAGAGCGTCAATATTTGCTTTTCGCTCTACAACAAGGTTAGATATACAGTTGAAGTCAGAATTATTAGCCTCCCTGAATTATTTGCCACCATGTTTATTTTTTTCTTGTTGTCTGTTTAACAGAGCAGATTTTTTCAACACATTTCTAAACAATAGTTTTAATAACTCATTTATAATATCTGTTTTTTTTATCTTTGCCATGATGACAGTAAATAATACTGTTACTAATACCTTATTGCAATAATACCTTAGTTTCATAAGTTAAACAGATTTCAAATTTAACTTAGTCTTGTCAACATTTTTGAAATTGCTTTCTTTTCATTAAGATATTGTTTAAAATGTTGCTTTTCACTGGGTATAAATATAATTTTTCACTCATATTTAACACAATATTTTAATTCATTCTGTCTAACGTTAGTTATCCGTGTTGTTGTTCTATTGGAATTTTCATTCCAAAATGAAATTGGCAGCTGCGTGACACTAGTAGCATCTAGTGGATGTTTCCCAAATAGCAACAGAGTGTTGCCTCTTGGTGAATTTATGTTCTTTTTCTGTAGCTCAAGTGATGCCATTTTGTATTTAGCTTATTGTTTGTACGGTAGCTCTGAATGCTCAAAACACCTCTCAAAGTTCTTTTTCGGATGTGAAAAGCGCAAAAATTTTGTTAACCCAGTTTGAATTTTTTTTCTTACAGTACGATTTGATACGATTCACACAATGTGAGGTAGAATAAATTTTTACAAGCAAAAAATTATGAAAAAAAAAAAAAAAACGGATTAAGTGTGTAATAATCCTAAATTAATTGATTTTTTTAAATAAATTTAAGTGGATTTAATATTTAATAAAAAAAGGTTGTCTCCCCAAAAAACGTAAGAATTGTGTTGGTTCAACTCAATAAGTAGTTTGAACAAGCAGCAAAAGTAATTATTTGAATGTAGAAATCATACAGGATACACTTGGCTCTAAGACAGAAAGAAAGTCAAATAAAGATCTGAGGTTGTGTCTAAGATGGATAAACTGTTCCTTTAAAAGCATTAAAATGTATCACCGCTTGACTCCTGATCAGAAAAGAGTGATGATGGAGATTGAACAGAAACCCTGAGTATCAGAGGCAATAAACTCTGCTTGGCATCATTAATCTCCTCCTGAAGCCGCCATTAATCCAGTCAGCCACAACCAACAAAATACACTGTTCAATATCCTACAGTCCCTAATGAAGACTCCATAGCTTTACACAGCAGGCTTCAGTTTGATGGAGAAGCGCTTCGGGCTTTCAAAGATCGCATACTGATGTTCCTTCACATCCAATTTCTCCTTTCTGTAAAATTCTGCCTGTTTTTTTTTTCTTAACAGAGCCTTGAGTGTGTGTGCGTGTCACACCAAAACATGAAATTTCAGATAACTGGCAGCGATCAAACAGGCTTAAACACTTGCACATGCACAATAGCAAAAATACACTGACAGTTGGCATAGAAATATGCCATAAACCCAGATATAACATGCTTCTCAATTCGGACAACCAGATGTCCTGTTTTATTTTGTGTTACCGAACACAAGATGTTTTACAGGATATCCCTGAGTATCTACAGACATCTCTGAGAAACCATGATTCACTTTTAACAGTCAAAAACACAATAATAAAATAAAAATTTAATAAAGCAAATCAATCTTCATTCATTGATTATCATTCATTATCCAACTTACTCCCTTTATTTATCAGGGGGTGCCAAAGCGGAATGAACCACCAACTTATCCAGCATATGTTTTACACAGCAGATGCCTCTCCAGCTGCAACCCAGTACTGGGACAAAGTAAAAAAACTTAGTAAGAAAAGCATTTTTGCAGTGCTTTAGGTGAAAACTGAACTTTCATTTTTAAAGGTCTCATTAAATTAACAAAGATTTTTAGATGTTAGTATTAGTATTGTTCGTTTTTAAGATATCTATAAGCTAGAGTGCTCCAAAACAGTGACAATACTTGTGAAGATACTTAGAAGATATAAAACTGATATCAACATGTAAAGCTTGTGGTTTGTCACTTCCATCCTAAACTGATCAACGGTTTTATTCACATCAACCCAGACTACGATTTCTCATCAAATCTTGACCAATCAAATGCTCTCTAGTATCTGACATGCCCCATCCCCTTCAAGATGCTTCTCATTTGCTTTTCATTTGATGCATAGGCAAAGCGGTGAAAAACAAAATGCGATTGGCTGCTACACTTTGTCCCACACGCTCTTCATGTTTTGGTTAAGATTACGTCTAATATCGAATAACAATGCACATTTCAAAGCCCTTCACAGGACCTTTAACTAAATTTAAAAAAAGCAATTTTCACAGGATATCCTATTATAAATTTAATCTGGAAAAAAGTTTTACTTCTTTTAGTTTGGTTGGATTAAAAGGAGTTTATTACGTCAAAAATATATATTATCAGCCCCCTAAATATTATACTATCTACTGACTACAAAACAACCCCTTTTATCCAATGACTTGCCTGATTTTACTTATGAACTAGTTAAATTGCATTATTATGTAATGTCATCATTGCAAAAGCAAAATAAATTTAATTCTTAAAACTTCTATGCATAAAAATCCATTAAATAACTTCTCTGTTAAAGCGCACAGTCCCACTGATGGGTTGTATATATATATATATATATTTCACACACCTTTTGTAATGGATCATGCTGAGTGCTGATCTATGGCAGCTGCGTCACCGTCTCCAGTTTTAGCTGATGGCGTACTGCTCTCAAAAGGCCACCACAGAGGGGTTACGTCACACCTCATCACAATCTAGAACTCTCACTTTCACGCACAAAGGTCTCCAGCCCCCAGTCAGTCACTAACAGACTCACCGCTTATCACTAGTCACCCAACACCTGAACCCGCCACTGTGTGATATAGATGAAATCTGGCAGAACTGACCTTTACACAGCAGACGCAGCCATTCAACAGCCAAACACACCTCTTTACTCACACAACCCTTCAAACAGCTCCATCCTATGACCAAAACCCACCGGTACCCACAACGCTCACTCAAACACCGCCTTTGAAATCGGCAGAAATCGAGTGTGTGTCGAAAGGTCAGGTCTGATCTCTTTTTGATTAAACCAGAACGCTCTCATCTCATAATGAATCGATTTTCTGCTTTCACTGAGTATGGTCTGATTTCATTTGGCCCTGAAGATTGGAGCATCCTTAAAAACAGACTGAAAGGAGAAAGACCATGTTTGACTTTGAGTAATAAAGAGCAAAAAGTAGACGTTTTAACACCAGAGGCACTTCTGCTTTCATTTTGAAGATATTTCAAAGCTTTTGAGGAGTTTTATTCAGAGTATGCTGTGAATGGATACAGATAAACTTGACCTTTAGTGCAAAATAATTTCATGTTATCAGGTGTTTAGACGTCTGTAGAGTCTCTTTTGGTTTTAAAATGGATTAAAGATTTAGTTTTTTAACAACATTAAGGCTGCATATTGGAAAATGTTATATGGAACATTGCAATATTTCGGATTTGTGCGATATACTGTATATTTATAATTTGAATATTATTTCAAGAGATGATTTTGGGAAAAGTTTATAATATTACATCAACCGGGAGTGTTTATGAAGAGTTCAGATGCAAAAGCTGCTATAAGCCACTTCCGCCATATTCCGCGACATTGAGCGACTTCTTTAGGCACGTAG